CTCCCGAGTTATGCATAATAAATAGGCACAGCTAATTGAGAGCTCTTCAACCAACCACAATATAAACGTAGTTGAACAAATAGAGAAAAGTTATGGCTCAATTATATAAAAACATAACAAGAATTTATCCTACAAAAGGTTCTATCAAAACTCTAGATAACAAATTAGCTATTCATAATAGTATGTAAAACTACAATACTAAAAGTCATAACCAACAATGAAAAATAGGAAGAGGAAGGAAAAAAACTCGTAGAAGAATTCTCCGCCTTGCTCCCAATGTGTTCTTGCCTCCAAGGGTGTTGTCTAACCCTAAAGTAGTGTCTTTTCGCCTCCTTAGGTCTAATTTGTGTCCAAAATATGTCATCCTCTTGTTCTTGGCCGGCCTCCTTTGTTTAATATAGGGTTTAGGACTTAAAATCCCATGTTTTGCACTTTAGTCCCTGAAATTTTCGCTTCCTGCCGCGATTTTGCCGCAGTCGCGGTGGAACCGCGGCCAATGGAGCCCAAATGGAGTTCTGAGCAAAAAGTTATGTCTATTTTACTAGACAGTACATAATATGCCTCCTCAAGTCTTCGTTCGTACTTAATTATCAAATTTGACCCCCGAACACGATCCCGGCTTAATTCCTTGAGCTTTTACTCAGACTTCAAAGCTTCAAATCACTTAAATTCATTCCACAACATCTATATAGCTCGGAATCACACCTACAAGGCATAAAACACACAATTAGTGCAAAACACTAGCGATTAAAGCGCAAACTCAATTAAAGTGCAGTAAATTCGAGTGTAATAAGCGACTAAAATATGCAATTATAGCCTATCATCAACACCCCACACTTAAACCATTGCTCGTCCTCGAGCAATCAAACTCCACTTTTTTTTATAGACACGACCTTTTTAAATAATTCTCCTAACTCATCACACCAAGAGTATTTAAAATAGACTAAGCACAAAAGCGTAACATCTTCACCTCAAGATTTGACTCACAAGTACCACACGGTATTCACAATTCACCCACTTACTCTAATATAGAGGTGACTAACATTACCTTTCCTTCATGAATCAAGTGCCCTCACACAACAAAAGAGAGTAGTTCCACACAATAAAATTTAAGAACACTTAGGAACTCAAGACAGAAAGAATTCACTCACTCTCAGAAATAACATTCATATGCCCCAAAAGATGCACCATAAGCTTGCCCGTAGTGTACTACTCCACTAATCGAGCTCATTCAATCTTGGATCAATTAGGACTTTATTTGGTTGTAATGTAGGCTACGGGACGGGTAGGATACATTTAGATATAAGAGTGACTACACCTCCCTAAGCACTTTAATACATATACTTTAACATTCAAACCCCATACTTATGTCAAACCAAACTCCACCTTCACATCAATTTATATTACCCCACACTTCTTTAAGCACAGTTACGTCAAGAGCCACCACTTATCAAGATTTTTTTTTTCACAACAATCCAACTATTTTGTTTTCAATTCAAGTGGCTCTTCCTTTTTCAAAACAGTGCACCTTTCTCCTTATTTCATTAGTTCCACTCAAAAGTCAAACCAACCACCCCACACTTTAACTTTTACAAAGTTCATAAATAATTCAAGTGCTCATGAGAGGTTTCAATGGTTCAAATAGATGGTTAATTCGAACAAATGGGTAAG